TTTTCCATCGTATACCTTCGCGCGGTTTTATTTCTTACTCGCGTACGACTACATCACGTGTGTGTGTGTGTATTTGAAAATAATTGCATCTGTAAGTCTACGTTTCGCGTGGTCAGTGACAATAAACGGCGGTACTTTGCAATTGCATTTGCTCGTGCTAGAAATTTACAATTGTACATATTTGTTATATAATTACTTTTTTTAAAACTAGGAGAGTAAATAGGTCAAGATATAGGACTTGGGGTATATAAAAGATGAATCACGTTCAAATAAAAAAATTAAATAAATGAGTTGCATTTAAATTATTAAAGACTTTTTTTGTCAAGATGTTCGTTTATATCGTCATCGAAACAAAAATTTAATGGCACAAATACTGAATTATATATTTTTATTATACTTTAATAAACTGTTTGTATATCTTAATATGGATTTGTTGGATTATTTATTGTGAAGGTAGCACTACTATAAGTTCGATATTGGTATATTCTAATTTGAATAATGTAATACAATGTAACGAACAACAAACCGCGTTATATAAGTAACAACTGACAAACAATTGACGTCATGGAGTAATAAATATCAAAAGATGTAGGTATATAATACGTTCAGTATCATAAATAGGAACCTAATCAAGCATGAAAATAACATGTATTTAATAAATCATAATCGGATAATTGATATTCTCTCTCTCTCTACTCTCTCTTTTTCTCATTATTTTTACAATCATTATTACTACACACAAGTAGATTTTTATTATCGGTATTTATTTCAGATTTTTCCTCAATTATTGACTTTTTTATTATAGCTATCAATTAGTGATAAGTTTACGAATAAAATATAATTAAAAGAAATTTGAAAGATTATAATAATTAATTGTAAATAGAAAGAGTATTGTGTTTTATTATGAGTAGACATGTGATTAATTAATTGTCACGAATTAATTGTCGGTAGATATGTAAATGTGACTTGTATATAAATTAAAAAGTGAATACACGCTTTAATTGTAATAGAAAAAAAACATGCAGGAAAATGAAGAAAATAGCAGAAATGTATTTAAAATATATCGCTAAGTTTAGAACTCTAATTAGTCACTATCGCGGAGAAAAAAACATGTTATACCAATACCTCTTTATTATACGACGATTCAAGGACATTTTATGAATGCGTGAAACGTGTTAAATAAAATAGTTTGCTATACATTTTTATTAACAAGTATACGAGAATTGAATTAATTTGATGGGAGGAGAAAGACAACCAGATTAAAGAACGCGAATCATTAAAGTTATAAATTACATCTTATCATTATATCTTTATGATACATATAAATATAATAACTTTAATGTTTGTGTGCGTGCATAAGTAAGATAGAGTGTGTAGGATGTTTAGTGCGATTATATCATTTTTAATGTGCATTATTATTCAAATAAAACTTTCGATCGTCAGTGCAAAACAAAGTATGTCAATATGTAAATAAGTATCGATAAGAATCTGTATCATGCAACGAGTTGTCACATGCATATAAATGTGTGCCAAGTCCTTCAAATAATTTATTAATTCTGCGATGTTCAATTTTATCCCTATTATTTACGTAGTTAAATATATCAATTATAATATATAGAAAATGGAAAATGTAACTTTTTTTAATATGTTTATTTGTGTGTAAAAAAATGAATTGTCTCTTGATAGGAGTCGAAGAAATTGAGAATAAGCGCGTTGTCTCCCAATTTATTGGATTCACTCGTAGTTCGTGAAATAAACAAGAAAAAAAGAAGAATACATGATCGATGATAACGGTGAAAGCTTTGGCCCTATCTAGACAGTGCGCGTTTACTCGAGCTCGTGTGCTTCGCCATGCGAATCGGAGGTCAGCCTAGAATCAATAAAGTGCACAGTCCTGGCAGGGACTAAAACACACCATTGGTGTAGCAAACGCACACACGTAAGATTCATGCATCAGTTTCTATCGGTTAACAATCGCATTTTCGTAGAAATAAAGACGTCTTTGTTTGCGAAATAATAAGTAAATGAGAGTGCTCTAGTTTTTAAATTTTTCGCAATAATAGTTGAATAACTTTTGGAAAATTAAACTGCTTTGCACACATTTTTTGGTAAATATTAATTGGCATGTGTAAATGAGATTTTCATTGCGGATGTAATTAATTTCCATATTAGAAATAGAGAAAGTTTTGGGAAATTCTTTTAATTTTGATTTTAATTTATAACAAAGAAATATAATAGAAAAGAATTTGACTAATTGGAACATGTCAGGACGAAAACAATTTGTGGCTTAATTAAATAACTCTGACAATCAAAATCCCTCTCTTGGTCATTTTTCCAATTTTTGTTTTTTCAAAACTTTTTTAAACTAAACAATCTCTCCGATTGATCGATGTTTTAATTAGTCGGAATTTATTGCATTTTTATCGTACTAATAATATACATATAAATAATAATCAAAATTAATAATTTATTACATTATTATAATTTTTAATATGCATACTTATAATTTAATAATATGAATAAGAAATAATTAAGAAAAAATTTTTTTAAATACAATGTAGATTTATCATAAAATTAAGTTTTAAATGTCTTTAAATAATTGAAAAATAATATTGTATCGATAAATCTCAGTTTCACAAACATACCAGCGTCGGGACATTTTTATGCAAATTTTTTCTTTACATTATTAACTTGTCTTATACAGATTTGATCGAGAATAGATCAAAAACATTGCATAGTCAATTGCGGTAGCGCGTGCGAGCGGGTTACGCCAGATTTCCGCAATGTCCGATCGCGGTACAAGGCTATATGAAAGAGCATCTTGTTGCATAATTCCTACCATGATAATTCATATCAGAGTAGTAATTATGCGTTTTTATGAGTTGCGCTCGGTGGAAAAGATGCAACTTTGCGTATACGGTTGCATCGGCCTGCATCGATTTTGCCGCTGTTTTTCGTGACTACGAAACATGCATTCGCGAATGTTGATTTAATAAAAAAAAAAAAAAAAAAAAAGGAGAGAAAAACCAACGAGCATTCAAGGACTTATTAATGCCATTTCCATCGTTTAAATTTCTTCACGCGGGAAAAATTGTCCATTTAAGCTACGAGTTTAGGTCGATAAATCACTCGAAAATTAGTATTAGATGTATGTACATGCTGAAATACTTTGTGGATAACAAATGATGTGAATGTTACGAATTGCGTAACGAAATTCTTATGCGAGGCCGCGAGCGAAGGTTCACCGGCGCGGTGAGTAGCTCGGAAAAGACGCTCTGTTACATTGTCACCGGCTCATAACGCCTAATCATAAGTCCCTCTCCAGCGATTTGCCGGTTTCTGAGAAGACCATTTTTTTCGTGCCGTGCCGTCGACGATTACGCTCGATAGCGCACTGCACCGTGCCATTACACCGGCATCGCTGCAAATAATCTACGTCGCGGTGCTCGCTCGAGCGGCAACATTCACGATGCAAAGCTCTTCTCAATTTTGTTTAAATAATAATTAAATCTGTCATAAATAAATATAAATAAATCAATTTCTTATAAATAAACATATTTATTATTTATTTCTCTAATCGAGGAATAAATAAATAAATAAAATTGGTCAGATTGATAGGTATATAAGTAACTTTTGTACTAATTTATTTTTACAGGAAAACGAATATATTTTTGGAAAATACGTTTTATATAAAAATTAAAGAATTAAAAAAATGTATTTGTGCTCAATATCAGTTTGACATATAAGAGAGGTCGTAAAAATTTTATTTAATTTTATAATCTGTATATAGCGATTTATATGGACTTTTATAACCATTATTTCAGTGCGATTGAAAGTTACATATCACATAATTCACGATAATCCTTAATGCGCGTGTCTGAGCTTTCTTTTGCGCGATCTTTTTTAATCTCCGTTCATTTAATTCTGGAAAATCCCCGAGTGCAGTAATCAATGCTTCCGTCTTCGTGCATCTCTGTAGCTTTTAGAAAGAAAGCTCGTAAATTGGACATTATCGATCGCATAATCGCTGGGCTCGCAAAACGTTGATGGAATTTATCCGCGTTCTTTCTTTAGCATGGCAAATATTTGCCACGCGAATTACATGGATACTTTGTTTCCTTTGTGTTGAAAACATATTTAATTTCAATTGAAAATAGAGAAAAGCAATACTATATATTACTATATATATATATATATATATATATATATATATATATATACATTGAAATTGTTATAACAATTACGATAATATTGAAATAATTTGAGCGACAAATCAACGCGACCTTAATCATAACATTTGGTATTACACACACATATGAATAATTTAACAAAAATTTTATATTAAAGCCGCCCAGATATGACAGAAATAAAATAACTGACTTTTTTAAGCAGGATATCTACTGACAATGAGAGCAAATTTTTTAATCAGAAAGAAATATTTTTATCGGCTCTCAATATTAAGAATATAAATATGATGTTTTTTAAATCGGCCAACAGAGTCAAAGCACAAAAAATTAATTATTCGGAACTGTATCTCTTGGATTGAGATCACTAAGTTCCATATATAAATTAATCTCAAAACTTACATATGGAGAAATAGGCGCGAAAAATATAGGTCCGAAAAGTCGCTGAAGCGGGAAATTTCAAATTTTTTAACTTGAAATATAGTTCTCATTTTTATACTTAAATTTCTGAGTGACAGTAATTTTATCAATTTTGTTAAAAATTACGCAAATATAGTCAAATTATAATTTTATTATATTTTAATACAATCAAATTATAATTAAAAATGTTTTTAAAACTAATATTATTAATTTTACCCTGCAAAAATATGAGTGCGTATTAGACCGAGGTACATTATTATTATGATAATTAATATCGAAATAAAAATCCGATGCAATTTTAGTAGCAGTAGATATCCTGGCGAGCTATAGAATGTAGTCCGCGACCACACGTTTAATTACTCGAGAGACTCTATCTAATCCTGTGCTCTATTACAGACCTAGGGAGTCCATTCTTCCCCGGTGGTCCTGAGTTGTGGCATCATCCATTGGCGTATTCTACAGCCGGCGAATTACCGGGCACGCTGCAACATGCGACGCTGGTGCATCCGGCGTTACATCCTCAGGTCCCCGTACGTTCCTATCTTTGACTATCTGCAGACAAAGCTCTGGAGCCGCCGACGAGCGCCCCGATGCACGTTAGTGATACATGATCGTTATACTCGATTACTCTTACACGGTAACGAGGAGACACGCGAGGGCTCAAGGACCGAAAGGAACTTTCGATCACGGCTGCCTTGAGTCCTCGACTCCTAGATTCCTTAGATTTTTCGATGTTGAATTCTTTAGTGCTTTGAGTATTTGAGTCGCCCTTTGAGTGAGTCTTTGGATTTTTGCACCTTTAGATTTCATCAAACCGATTTCTGGAGAGTGAATTCTTTTAGATTTATCAATCTATTTGGACTATCATCGCACGCTTGAATGATCAGCTTAATTCTTTGACAAATTTAAAGTCGAGTTTCTTCGTTTTTTTATATTATATATTTAATATTATAATATATATATTATATCTTGCTGAATATAATATATCGAATTATAAAGTTGTCAGAAAATTAAATTTAAATTAAGGGATTTAGTCAATTTGCATCTTTGAAATTTTATTTAAAAGCTAATTGTTATCTATAATTGCTATTTATAGTTCAAAAGCTATGTTTATTAATGGAAAATCGGTTGCAATTCGATCAAAAACATCGTTATTTGATACATGATAGGTCATCGAGTATTAATATTAAATACAGCTAACGTCAATACAATAATCATAACAAGTAATATATCGTACGGATTATTAGAAATAATATTTATTCCGCATACGCGCGTACCATCAGCCAACATATTCAAATATTATGCTTTACATCGCTATAAATCGATAGTGCAACTTGTCGTCGCACTGCGTGTTCTCGCGTATTATACAGAAACGTGTGGTTTGCTGTCGTGTGGGTTTGCGTCACGCGAGCTTCAAATCGTGGAGTTTTCAAACTATTGCGATGCTTCCGAAGTTTGTCGCGACATGGATTAATTATGGTTGCCGCAGAACGACGTTAATAAATCCATGGCTTACTTTTTCTCCAGCACGATATTCGGCTTGTCCGTCGCGTTATTTCGATTTTATGAGCTGAGAAAACAATTTTAATCCATAATGTAATTATTAATAATATATATAATTAAATTAAAAAAAATTATTTTATAATTATTAATGAAAATGAAAAAAATGAAAATTAAAACGTAATTATAAATAGTCAGATACACATTAAATAATTACATGGCAGCAGTAATCTAAAGGCATGAAAGTTAATTGAATGAAACATATAAATATAAATTTATATATATATAGATATCATCAAAGGGGCATATAATTATTTTAGATATTTATTTTACATTTCCATGTGTATATCGTATGCGAGTTTGCACTATTTTTGGAATTTATTTTCACTCCAATTTAATAGAGATTATTTCAAGATATGTGTGTGCAAAAAATTTCTTTTATTTATTAAAAGATGTGAGATATAAAATCATAAGTTGAAAATTATTGTAAATCTTTAAAACTCGAAAAATCGGAAAAGTTTTTTAACGTGAGTATACTTTCAACCCTCTTTAAGATATCGGTGGTACGAACGATGGTACCATCCATCAAATTCGTGCTATTGATTTTTAATATGACATAAGCTTGTGCCAGGTTTGTATAGGTACCTGTCACGCATTAATGTCGAGCCGTAACTTAGTCGCGAATTATCTACGATTTCTATGAGGATAAACAACGCAGACGTATAGTCACGAATGCGTACGAGCGCGATATTATCTGTATTTTATCGATCGTATGTGTGCGTGCTATCCGTCTGTGATTATATATATATAAAATATATAGCGATTCTATATTATTCCCTTATACCTCAAAGCGAAATAATTATTATCATGAAGTAATCGAGAATGCGAGAATGAAAAATCGCAACACATTTATATAAATACAATACATTAAGCTGTTACATTTCATTATTATTGATTCAAAAAGTTTTAAATATCTTGGATACATAATTACATTATTAATAGTATTTTTGTTTAGATTTATAATTTTCTAAAATTGGTATTTATATTTTGTTTGCAAGAAATTTAAATTTTAAGAGTTTTGCATTTTATATTTTATCATAAATATGTGATTTTTTAAATATTGAAATAAGCAAATTTTTATAGGTATAAATTCTATTATTGAAGTCATGCTCATTTTAAGTTTTTCTTTTGCTAAGGAGTTGAGTGTTAAAATTTTTAGATATAAGAAACAATATTTAGATTATGTAAATAATTCTTGCATTACTTAATTATTAGCGTTTCCAATAGGATTCTACGAATTTCTAATTTTTCATTTTGTTTAATACAGTTTCGCTTTTGCAGAATAAATTGATCAGTGAAAGTATAGAAATTAGGTTTTGTGTAAAAAGAGATATTATATGGCTAAAAGTAATTTTACAAAAAGTCAAGTATCATTACTTCACTTTGTGAAAAGTTATTAATTTATTTTGAAATTTGAAAAATTCCTGTTGAGGAAATGTCTGGAAACGATTGGGCTTTTATAGTAAGCCAATTTTGTATCTCTCATGAAATCTCGAACACAAATCATCCCTATTACGAAAATCGAGAGGATTCCCGATATTCCTCTCGAATTTATCCGCGGCACGAGAGAGAAAATCCGTTGCATTGAACGTTTGATAAATCGAAGGCTCTCGAGCTCGGACTGCCGCGCTATTATTTCCTTTTCCACCGTACGCATCTCGCCGTTCTTTTAACAGAAGTAGAAAAGGAATGAATCTCGAGATATCCACTCAAGAGATAACGAACCGAGAACTCGCTAGCAATAACGTCGAAACTTATTAAGTCGAATATCTAACTCGATTAAATACGTTTTCGACTTGGTGAAACTGACTGAGACCTTGACAAGATCTGTCATCGCTTTGATAAGTTAATAGCAGATACACTCGATGTAAATGATTCGGAATTTCTTTCATGTCAGCGATATTTGCTGCAAATATATTTTTGTATGTAGTTAAATGAGAAATCTGTTGTGCTTCTTCGCGTTTTATAAATAATTTGTTTCCAGCATAGCTACATTGAATTTTATTTCTAGTTTATTAATAAAATAATGTGGTATTGGAATAACTTTGCATCAGCATCAGGAATAAGTTTAAAACTGAATAAAAAATTTAATTTATGCCTTCATTTATGATTAAAAGCAGAACGAGACAATTACTTTTGTGACATGACAATGACTTGCCATAAAAAAAACGCTATTGCATAGTAGGTATCGCGTGCTAGTTAACACGAATATATGCAAGCAAAACAAATTTATAAAAGGCATATTTTAGTCTGAAAAAGTTTGAAGGATCAAAATACTATTGAAATATTCTTTTATATGTTCCTTGCATTTTTTTTTGCAAATGGTACGTGCTAATGCTTCCTTTGATTGACGAAAAAGTGCGTTTGCATGCAGACTTTTAGACTTGAATTTTTGTTAAGATGTGAAAAGATATATTTTTTGTTCGTTGAGGGACAAATGTAGAGAAAGACCGGGGCGGATTGACGCAAACGCGTCGCTTCGCGGGCAGACCGACTCTATTCACGCGGCCAAGCGGAGCGAGAGTCAAGTGTATGACGGAAGTATTTATATATCTTCTAGGCGCCTATGTCCCTGCCGCATCCTACAACGCTGACGTCGATACACGCGTCGCTGCCTCATTTTCTACCGTCGCCGGCATTGGCGTCACCGGTCGGGTCACCCTCGTCGCAGCCGAACCTAGCTGTCAGCAATGCGCAGTGCTCCACCCTCTTCGTGGCGAACCTGGGCCAGTTTGTGTCCGAGCATGAACTAAAGGACATATTCAGCAGGTTAGACACATTCTTCGTTTATACTTTATTATCTCCTTTTGTACGTAAGCGAACCGGATACGGTTGTATATTTACTTATCGATTTGGTATATTTATATATCGTACGGCCCGCACGTATACACACATATATATATATATATATATATATATATATATGTGGTGTGTGTGTGTGTGTGTATGTGTGATCGTCGAGAATCTAAGAACACTTTAGAACGCATCAAGGTACATTATCGTGACCCGATAAAAGTGTAAATGCATCGTGAGATTTCTAGAAATACACTAGCCAAATTGGAGTATTTCTAATGTTTGAAAGACATTTTTCTTGTATCTAAAAAAAATTTGAACTATACTGATATAATGATGGACCTAGATGCTGCTAAATGTGAAGACTATTCTTATACTATCAAAATTTCTAGCGGAATCTCAATTTATGTATACAGAATCTTAGCATATATAAATATTTAAAGACCACATTGAATGAATATATATATACGTAAAAATTTTAATTTTTCATATTACAATGCAAAAGGTCAGATACAAATATTTATAACAACGACAACAATGATGATAGATTGCTTTGAACAATGAAGTCATGTTTACGCCTGCATATTGGCGATATATGTGTACTAAATACGGGTACCGATACACGTGGGTCTTATCAGTATACCACGTGGTGGTGATACCACGATGACGTTAATTTAACTACTTGCAATTTTAAATGAATGAACAGAAAGAATACATCGATTTAGTCTAAATTTACTAATAATATGTACATACATAATGAAAATTTAGAAATTATTAGATTTTTCATTTCTTAAATTAATATTGATTAAGATAAAGATTTTTTGATTTTTGAATTTTTATTTGCGCGGATTCTAGAAGATTATAATAAATCTGTAATATATCTAGTAACTACATTTTTGAATACTCGTTTAATAACAAAAATCCTTTTAATCATAATTTTCAAATTAAAATCAAAATCTCGCGAATATAAATTTCAGATAAACTAGAATTTTGTATGTTTTGTTGATATTTTGTATCTAAAGTAAAGAAGTCTTGTTACGCTTGATGATTTGCGCTGTCGCATCGTTATGTAATTTTAGCAAGGATATAATACATTCAAGGATTTTCACGTTAAGCAAAGAATGTTGCTAAGAGAAAACGCGAGCATATACATATACGTACGCGTCGATATAATACATAACGCAAGTAATTTTTCTCATTTCTTACATTCGATAAATTCGCAGAATATCAGTGCTATCTAATAATTATCTAATAATTTAATTTCGCGCAACTTTGATTTGCGTGTATCGCGAAACGAGAACCTTCGGGTCACAAGGAGCGTGAAACGCAAAATCGTAGTTAAACACGGGTGAACCGCTAATTACGGACGGAGATACACACTTAGGCAATTAGAGTACTTGCCTAAGTGCAAGCTATCCAACAAACGGTGGAGTTAAAATATGTTATCCGGTCGGGCACACTACGGTTGCGCTCGCGTAATAAATTATTTTCACGTGCTCCGTCATGCGGAACCTTCCCACGATTCTTAATATGCCTTCGGTATGGTGTTGTGAATCATTGCATCGGGAATTGCAAACTCTTTTCGATATGTCCATGTTAAATGTCTGCGTTAAATCGATTACGCCGCGGCTAATATCTTGCTGTTTCCCTGGGTGCAAACACGTTCCTACGTGGGGATAACAAAAATTCAAGCCCGTTCGTTAACCTTTGATTAATACTGTAAACTCCAATCACGTATTTGCAATTATGGGATTGTAATAATGAGAAAGGAAAATTGCGTAAACCAATATTGTGCAGGCTTCGCTGCAAAATTATATATGATATTGTTAAAATATTTGATACGATTGAATATTGGGGAATATAATTACTTCGACATTTCTGCTGTCGATTACTATGGTCATCAGTTGGAGTTTAAGAAAAGTTTTCAGTTAAGAATTGCAGAGAGTTATTATATATTTTATTCTCTTCTTTTTCTTGTATATAATTTATAACTTCGTGAAAATTAAATAGATAAAAAATTTAAGGATCCAAGAATTGACAACGTTGATAAAGAGTATAAAAGTTTTAAACGATTTAGAAATATATATTTATATAGCAATAATGTTATTGTATCTTACCTGAGAGAAATTGTATTAAGTTGCAAATTATATTAAATTTTGGATAGACAATCGTCGAATGACTTTTCTCGAAGAATCGAAGTTTAACACTTTTCGACAACAAAATTTAATAAAAATATTATTTAATTTCAGATAATTTCAATAATTTTTGTATCTTTTCCTAAATAATAGTTTTGTAATTTTTTTGTCTTATGAATGATATTAATTAACGCATTAGTTATTAGTTTGATTCATATTTACATACCGTTTTTAATTGAATTTTAATATCACGACGTGAGATATAAGAATCATTACTCGTTAAAAACAATTTAATCGTTGTTTGTTAATAACAATTTCTTCGATACACAATATATGAATAATAACTAGAAGACGCGTTCTGCTCTTTCGAGTTTCGCCGCTGACGGAAGTCTGTGCGCGACTGTCTTGCAAGTTCTGTCGCCAATAGAGAAGCCCTTCTTCCCTCCCGTATAATTAGCCCGCGAAATCTCATTATTCTGCAAACCCCGGAGTTCTGCAGTATGAATTCGTAAGTGAGTGCCTGAGTTAATTACACGCGTTTGTACGTGCGGGAGGCACGCTGCGCATTCTGCAATTTTCGGTAGCTCACGGGAGTATTCGACGGAATTTCGTTGTCGGCAACGTGAATACATTGTGTTCGTCGTATGTAATTCGACCATTGTTCTTGCACGAGTAATTATTACGCGTTGGTAGACTCCAATAAAAATATGTTTGTGGAATTAACATTTTGCGACAAAGCACTTTTGAATATTTTTAATACTGTACAAGTCAAGTACATTAAATAATTAATAATTGATTAGAAATCGTGGAAAGTTATAATAGATCATAAACAATGCAATTTTATATTTTATAATTTATATATTTATATTTTAATATCTCTGGAATTTTTGATTTTTCATTTTGAAATTTTCCTTATATTTTTAAAATTTAATTTTTAAAAAATATTTTTAGCGTGTTACTATTTTTATTAATCGATTTAATCTTGAACCTATTTAATTTTAACAAATTGTATGTTTTTTTCTCATTTTTTCTTAAGATAGTCAATTTCAATTTTCATATTTATCAAAATATTGTAAAATAAAGAAGAGATATTCAGAGGAATTACATAATTCTAATTTGTAGCATTAATAAGTCTATATATATATATTCGTACATTTATGTATGCATCAGGCTTTAAATTGACGGATTCTGATTTACGTTCTCGCAGTGGATTTGTAATCAGCTTTTGTTAGTAAACGTATTAGGATCAATAACCATAGTAATCGACGCTGAAGGGTAAACGATGAAGCATCAAGTATCTGCACCTAAATTTCCGGCTAGAGGGCGATGGTGTTGAGATTGTGCAAGTCCGTGAACGCCGAAAGCTTTGTAACTAACAGCACCGCCTCCAAATATCACCGACATCCGCTAATCATTTGCCACCGTCGTAGATCGTAGGCATATAGGACGCACTTGTACTAGTACCCGTACCATGCGACCAGTGTCGTTTACTAATTGTCGGTGTGCCGAACACAATTGCACGGAGGGTAATGTCTGGAATGTCGCGAACAATCGACCTAATCGCGGATTTGCACCGAGCACACTGTGAATCTAATCCTGAAGGATTACGATAACAGAGGAGTAATCCTTCTAATGATTTAAAATAAGAAAGGAAAACATGTTTAATCATTTTAACGATTTATAATGATTTTCTAAGTAACATGAAAATAATGGATATTTGAAAAATGAACAATATATTTACGCGATATTTAATTAATCGAAAGTTATACAAAGTAATAGATCTGTATTTGGCAGAATAGAAATAATTTTATCATTAAATTTTGATTTGATTTTTCTATACAATGATAAAAAAAAAACATATTTAAATTTGTATTTTAACATATTAAATAATTATTTTCATACATATATATCGAAGAAAAAAATTCACAGCTGTTTAAGATCTGAATTTGATAAATTCTGACTTTGTGTCGCATCCCCTCCGTGTAATGAATTACCCTGTATCGGCACTGCCTAACACCACCGACATCATCGACAACCATCATTGACAACCAAGCAATAACCAAGACCCCCGTTAAACCCTTAACCCCTTTGCCCCTTCTACCAGAGTACTGTCTTTACGACTAACTAGAGCACGTATTGTACGCTTCTCTTATTTGTGCACAGTTTTCCTGGTTTCTCCCGGCTTCGTATGCACACGAAGGGAGGGTCGCCAGTGGCCTTTGTCGAATACCAAGACGTTCGCTACGCGGCCCAGGCGATGGCCACTCTCCAAGGGTCCTTTCTCCTCTCCTCCGACCGGGGAGCGATACGAATCGAATATGCAAAGTCAAAAATGGCCGAGGTGGGCTTTACAAATCTCTGGATCGAAGTAGGTTCCACTTTATGCTACAATAGACCGCTGCGAAGGACGTCATAGGGAAGGGGCGGCTCTATTTGTGATAGGCGAGGTTTCACGTACTTAGGTCCTCAGTGGAAATTCGCGGTATTTATCTTCCCTGTGTCTATGTAGGGCGAAGATGATGGTTTCGGGAAAGATGGCGTGTGCGAGGCACTTTAGAAACGCGAAAGCGTATATTGCACATGTCGAGAGCCTCGATGAAGAGGGCGTTTGTTGCGGTCAAGCTTGGAGCTTGCATACTCGAGGCCTTCGAACACCCAGGGTCCTCGCTTGCGCGCCTAAACCCTTAGCACGAGTGTTTACTGTGGTCTAGCACAAGACCCTTGCACATTGCGAGGTTCTGGGTGGTCGTTTAGTCCGTCCTATGATAGAGCCGCCTCTGCAAAGATGCGATCAACGATTAATAAAACGTAGAGCTGTGCTGTCGTCGACATTTCATATTCGCTTACTTTCTTTCGGCGTACTATAATCATTGTTATTGCTATCGTACTGAATTTTAAATCTTTTTGAAAGACGTTGCTTTAGAACTTTTTTATGAATAAGGATTTTCAGCTTTTTGGAAAGAAGAGATACACTGCATAATTTTTATAATCTTGTTCAAATAATATAAAATTCTAAATTTAGAATACGAATATTAATAGTCACATAAATACAATTGTGTGTAATAATATATATTTGTGAAAAATATGTCTTATAAAATATATTATTTTGTAATAACTTGTACACACAAAGGTTTAAAATTAAATTTACTTTATAGCGACTTTAATTGAAATTTCGAACACAGCTATGCGTTTCTATCTATATAGAGGTCGAAAAACTGATATACTTTCGATGACTAAAATTCGATACTATGGACACAGGAAAATGATAGTTATATATATTTATAAAACTGTAAAAATCTGGAACGAAAATATATTTTTCTGTATCTGTAGCATCGAAGATCGGCGATCGGCGTCATTGAAATGAATATATCGATTTCGATCCTTGTTTTTTTATCGGCTCCGAAAAAATGCGTCAGGCCCGATTGAATCGATCCTGGATTATTATTCAATTTAATTTTCGCGGTTTTGACTCTTGAAAGCATTCGCGCCTCGAGGCAACAGAGACAGGCCGTCGCTTTCAAAACCAATTAAATTCAATTAACGACGGCTGTCCTGCTGAAGGATTCGCATTCGAACGGCGAATGCACAATCGCGCGTCGGTGTCAATGGCCAATCGTCAATTATACGTCTGTTAATCGTCTACTCATCACGTGAAAACCAGAATTACGATTCCTCTCGTCTTTTTTTCGTTTTGTTTTTTTTTCTTTTTTCTATCGCTCGATTGACATATGCGTTTCTAATTGGGGCGTTTAATTTTCACCAATCCATCGATTTATTTTTACTTTTTTACAATTTTTTTCTTTTTTTTTTGCACTATTCCAAGCAAAGGTTGAAATTGCTGTAATTTCGAAGAGTTCAGATGTTACGATGTTACAGAACTGATAAAAAAGTGATCCCGATATTTATGTCTGAAGTGGAAACACGATATTTGATAGTAAGATAAAGTAGGTTTTTCATATCTGTAATATTGAAGATTAAACTCGTCTAAATTACATCATTTTAATCTTAGAAATTCTAGATTTTTTCTTTTTCTCATTATATTCCTTCTTTATTGATGCCTGTTTGTTGAGCTGCTCGTATTCTTACGTAATTTCCTTCATATGAAATCCTTCTTTCTATCCTATATGTTGATTTTCGCTGTATTAAATCTGTTTTTATTTTACAACTGTATTATATAGATGCGTCGAGCACTATGCACCTACCTGTAGCAATGTATTAATTGGCTGTAATAACGCTTGAGAAAATATTGGATATGTAAAATATTAAAATCAATTTTATTGAAAATGAATTTTGATTAATAATGTTTGTGATGATAAAATATTTTAAATTTGTTTTTGCATTTATTTTGCGTTTTTTAAACTTGTATATATTTTTAAAATTTAATTAAAGTGTAATTAAAATTTGATTGAAATTGTTTCTATTCTAAGAACATATCTTGTTTTTAAAATGTTTATACTACATTATTTTAAGATTTGTAGAAATTAAAAAGAAATTGATACGTGTCAATTTTATTCTTTGGTTTAATTACGATTGGAGTTTAAACGAAATTCATTTTAAGAATTATAGTAAAAATCTAAAGTAGAAAAGAGATAAGTCAGGCACAAACGATGATTCTGAGGTTCCGCTTTTAATTAAGATCGTATTTTCGCTGATAAAGGAAAATTCGTCGGACATTTAAGGATCGATCTTACTTGCGTAATTTAAGGGCTGAACTAAGTTCAACTCGCGGGTTATCCAATCGCTAAAAGGATTGAACTAATTAATTAGCTAAGTAATTAAGCTGCGTTAAATGAAGTTGGCGGAGTTGTTCGTCTGGCCGAAATATAGTAGCAATAACATATCGATATAAAAAAGCGCATGACATTCACAATGTTCGTAATATTTGACGCAAAATGCACAAGCCAAGAAAACAATTTGTATCATCTTCCAGTTAAATAGAGAATTATTTTAAAATGAATGATAATTCAAGAAAATCTATTATAAGTAATATGTAACGTTATACGGTTTTCAATTTTCATTGGTTATTAAAATTTCTATAAAATCTAGATTTATAAAATTTATAAAATTAAAATTCAGTTGTACTAATAATTCGAATTAAATAAGCTACCGATTTAGTGATTTGCTATTTTTTAAATTATAGTCTTATCCCTAACAGCAGAAATGTTCGAAAAATATTCAGAAAATATCCATAGAATATTGCAACATTCTATGGATATTCTCTGAATATCTTTCGGACATTTCTGCTGTTAGGGATATATCTTTCAATTTTATGGAATGAAATGTTATATGATAATGAAATTATATGATAATTTTGGTTTTTAAGAATTTAGATCTTGAAATAAATTTTTGAATTATAGAATTGAGAAATCCTAGAATCGGAGGCTTTAATAATCCACTCGAAATTGTACGAAAATGGATTCATGTCGGAGCAAAAGTGTGTCACCTAAAATTGATCGGTGACTAAAAAAGAGCGCTCCGGATTCGGATCGCCCGACCTTACCCTTTGAACTCGATGGATCGATACTGTTCGCTTGCGATTACAATCGTATCGCAACTTGTTTATTCATATACGCGATGCCGAAAAACTGCAATTGATCATGCTATAAATGAAGTTGCTATCACGCGTCGTCCTTCTCATTTTCGCATTAGACGATCGATACGGTCCGCTTGGGGTTGGGCACGGCCGAACACGTCATCATTAATTTGCGTTTTATGAAGATGTCTAGCGCTACATTATCCATCTAGTGTAGAATATTTATCAATTAAAACTCGTCCTTTTTTATAAGTGAACACATCAAGTCCTACGTGTGAATATTTTTTTCTCCGTCAGCGGTTTTTTAATATACATATGTATATCATCAAAATCTTTTATATTTAAGTTTTCTTATTAGATAAGTGAACATTTTTTATGAGATTATTGGAAAACGAAAGCTACGTGAAAAATCTGAGTTGTTGAACGATCCAGTTTTTAAAATTTTTTGGCTCTTTTTGTTCTTTTATATTCAAATATATTCTCTTTTGAGTATATTAAATATACACATATTTTTACATCAACATCATGTTGAATAAATACAATATTATAATTTCTCTTTTATACTTAACTTTTTTCAAGATTTTGACGTTATTAGAATATCATAAGAAAATATTGTCACAAGATTTACGTTATCTTGTTTTCTTATTCAAGTCATCTTGAATCTTCTATGGTATGTAAATACGTTTTATTCATAATATCTCTGTTTATTCCCGCGGGTCTCTTTCCCAAGACACAACAAAATTCAATCTATCCATCTGTATCCCTACATCTCGTTTCCCTTACATCTACATTGTACTCTCCTTCTTTAGGCCGTGTGTGCACCCCTTCGTTGACCGAGAGCTTTGAGCAGACCGTGAAAGAGCGCTTTTCAGCATAGTCATGTCCTAATGAGGTACGCAAATTACTCAATGGCAAGACGTCACCTCTTCACATCGGGCGCTCTTTATTCGGTAACAAGACAAATGTACGTTCTCCTTTCATGCTCGGTCAGAGTACTCGACCGAGTCTTTGTGCAAACTGTCACCGTGTGTGACATATTGAGCATCGGGATTAAGAAATCCGTTATGAGTGGTTGTCAGACTTTGGGTCCTTGCGCCTTCAGACATTTGTATCCTTCAACTCGTGAATGTGTTCAAAACTTAACTTCTCTCGAAAATTTTAATTCGCAATCAAGATAATTTTTTTATTGTATATTTTCTCAAGTTTTATTTTTTTTGAATCATATTAATAATGAATTAAATAGCAGAAGATGATGCAATTTTTTTTTCTTATGTATATATCATTAAGGATGTCTGCATAATAAGAAAAAAGTTACCGTATTCTCGGAGAGAACGATTAATTCCGCCTAGAAAAAATTTTTGTATTAATGACGAATATATGTGCGTGATATCTACAATTAAGCGATTTTTATGCGTTTGCACGCCGTATCACGAATTGTTCTAATCGTTTGTATCGATTTTTCAGGGATCAAAGAGACAAGAAAACGGCCAACCTTAAGATCGATATCAACGGTATGTAAAGGGGTAGAGGATCAGCCGGTCCGAGGAGACGGCGTTTTTCGCCGAACAGGACATCAATCAGAAAATAAAACACGAGGAAGAACCGCGCAGGAAGCTGTACATTACTCGAACAGTCGACATATCACCGGCGAGAGATCGCGAGAAATGAAAACGTCGCAAACGCGGGAGCACATAGACGTAAACACACATGACACACAATAAGAAAATTAAAAAAAAAAAAAAAAGAAAAAAGAAAAAGAGAAGAGACGCAGAAATTGTGAACGTGGATGGTAGAAGAGCAAAAGATTTTCGATCGCTCTTCCGCCGAAAGGAACACAGCAAACATATCGGTAGGCAAATTCTTGTAAATTCTTCAATATTGCAGAACGGAGGCGTGTTGGTTCGCGCGACTCTAGCGGGGGGCCCAATATAATCACGTAATATTCCTAGGTATATATATTTTTTAACGAACTTAACTTATCGATTCGCGTACCTATCTTTACCTACTATTTATTTTTCACCGTGTCTTTGATCGCGATCGACGACGACGAAGCGAGAGAGAAAAAAGATGATAGCTGGAATGAGATGGTAGCAGAGGAAAGATCGAAGAGAGAAAATAACAGAAATGAGAGAAGTAAAGCGAAGCGAGGAAGCGGATTTCGTTTCTTGTATACATATGCAAAGAGAGAAGGCACTCTTCGATACTCACACTTCTATCGCGATGTTTGTTTACACATGTACACATACACATACATATACATGCGCAGACTTTTTCAGATACATTAACAAGCGCCATGACGCCATTCCGGGATAGTATAAAAATATACGCGAAGTATCATAAAAATTGCATTAAACGATAACTTATTGTTTTGAAAAAAAAAATATTTATATCAAAATTTTTGTAAAATAAATACATATCAAACTCGAGCTTTCTAAATTATGCGTATTGTCGAGGAAATAAAATTTTATTCGAACCTCGAGTACAAAATTATTCAATGATTGATACGGATTGGCGACTCTTGCGAATCTTAATGGCGGTTCCAACATGAAATTCTACACACTGAAACGAAACAAGTGAGACGAAGACGAGTACATCAAGCTTAATACCAAAGGTGCCCTAAGAAGCGTGTATTTATGTTTTATCATCGGCGTGTCGCGCGAAGCACGAACGCGCGTACTTTTAACTATTGTATCTTGTTAAGAAGAGTTTAGTGTCCTAGGCGTGGATGAGAATAAAGAGAATAAGAAAAAAAGAGGGAAAGAAAGAGAGAAAGAGAGAGGGAGGGAGAGAGAGAGTATGTGTGTGTGTGAGAAGGAAAATAAAAAAAAATCCGAGAAAGTGAGAAAGTATGAATAAAAGTGCGAATGCAAGAAAATATGTATGATAACAAGGAAAGAGTAAGAAAGAAAGAGGAAGAGAGAGAGAGAGAAAGAGCAACCACATCGAGAGAATAAATGTTAAATGAGAGAATGTGATTATAATTAATAATCTCTTATACATATATATTTAATATATATAATATATATTATAATATATATAATATATATATAATATATATATGTACATATATATACATACATAACGAACGCGAACATATCATAGGATTAAGTCTGTAGACGAGAATTAAAGAGCATCGAGAAGAAAACTTGAACAACCATCTGCCTTTTTAAGGCAAAAGAAGTTAAGAAAAAGAAAGAAAGAGAGAGCGAAAGAAAGGGGGATGATAGTAGAGGGTGATGTGCCCCGCGTGTTAGAAACGGCGGCCAACTCGGCACGTAATTTGCCCAAGTGCCTTCCTGTTGGTCGAGTCACAAGCTGTAATCGGTAGCGCGTTTACGTATATAGGTCTTGTCTTGATTTTTCGAGCACCCCAAAAAAAGAGAGAAATTTTCACCACTTCTCTATACACGCAACCGTGTCTGGAATATGTCCCCTCAATTCTGTCGCCTTGTCGCACCCTCCTTTCCCTAGCCCTCTTCCGGTCTTGCTTCCTCGACGGCGGAAGGCTGCAAAAGAGGATGCATTCAAGCACCCCATGATAACGATTCAAGGATCAAAGGCGGCTCTTTAACGAAGCTTCGAGCGAAGCGCGTTTCTCGAAATGATTGAACGCACTCGTGAAAATCTGTAATGGCTGGTAGTAATTCCTCTTGGATATAGTTGGAACTTCTGTTGTATATTCGTATAACTCATATTATAATTCTATATTACTCTGATTCGTTGTAGTTTTCTCATTGTATAAGCATATTCAAAATTCTAATTATGTAAACGTATAATATTAATGCAGAATCTTAATAATTTACGTTTTTAAAAAGATTACACGGTGATTAGCTTTTGGAAGCTTTCTTTATACAGCTGATCTTCCGCCGACGAGTCCTTAAGTTTCGCAGTGAATCCTTTTACCCTCCGCTGTATATCACTGGGCATTTATTACATGCACATCCGCAATTAATGAAGAATGAAAGTTATTTAAAGAAAATAAGAGTAGCCACCGATTAACAGTGGATAATGACTATGTCGATAGTGACGATCATTTACCGGCGCGCTCGGGCGAACTGATCGGTCATCCGTCGTCACTGATCATCTATCATCGATCGTTATCATCGATTGTCAAGTCACGATCGCGCCAGCACGTTCTTTATTTTTCTACGGAAAGCGACTGGAATATGCACCATGTTAGAAATATCACTCTGCGATACTGGGACTTGACGCGAACACACGAAATATACACGCGTGAGAGGAATAATATAACGTGATAAAATAGAAAGACACTGTTGTGTCAGATGAATATTTGAGTTTCCACTTTAACCCTTTGCACTCTTGCCTGAAATCTTACTTATAGATGAGAACGTAGGTTATTAGAAAATGTGAAAAAGGGTACATTATTTTATATTACGCGATGTTTTGGATTTAACGTTGGTAGCTAACAAACACACCATTGCGACGTAAAATGTGATTTATGGAACTTTAGAAAGTCTAATCTAAGTTTGTAATTGAATCGAGGCCTTACATTTATAATTCAAGAAGCAGGATGGAACGGACTGAGATTTAGATCTTTTTCTCATTTGAGAAAACATCGATGGTATCGCAGATATATAAAAAGCAATGATTACATGTTAATCGAGTAATAAAAATATTATTGGGGGTGAAATAGCACGAAACAAGACTTGTTACACGCTTGGCTTTCTTATTTAAAAAACACCACCTTGCATAATTTTGCAATTAAAAAAGAATGTAAATTAAATCTGAGCGCAAAGGGTTAATGGGATGCAACAATATCAAGAGTAAGAAGACTTATTAAGAGTTTCGAATCTGTCGGGATCGGAAGAAAAGAGATAGGAAAAGTATCTATATAACAAGGGAGGAAGATAGCGATATAAAAGTATACACGAGACAAGTTTTGGATAACGCGACCGTGATTGCTCGAGTATCGCGATCGCGAAGGATGATCGTCGATCTTGCGAGGATGCGGCGCGGCAAATGCATTATTCGGTGTATTCAATGGCTCGTTATTTTATAATTAGCCGTTAAGAGACGGATTCGTTGTCATCGGAATCGACGAATCGAAAGAATTAGATTGAATTTTAAAGTGCTTTACAAAAGTGAACTAACACATATCAGTAGGCAGTATGCTATTATTACATTAACATAGAGTGGTAATTGCGTATAAGAATATTAGAGGTTAATATAAATTATAAAAAAGTATATATATATATATATACATATATCTACAGATAGATATATATATTAAATGAAGAAAAAATTATATATAAAATCGCGCGACGTCGTGTTAAAGTACAGGGGGACGAGGGCGAGAAGTACATGTCAATCAGATATTTTGTACCGTCTCTAGAGGAAATTATTCTAACGAGTCCGTTTTTTTCATTTCTTTTTGATATATACACACATATGTATATATACACACATATGTGTATAGGCATATACATGGATATATAATGGACATATACATATACATATCGTGGAAGCGAATCATGCGTAACGCACTAAATGCGATTGTGATTGGGACCCTTAAAAGCATTCGGACCGCGTCTTTTATTCTGGAAGAAAACTATCGTTTATCTTTTATTGATAAATTCGAAAAAAAGTCGTACACACAATATTTCACGTAATAACATTTATTTTTTTTTTTATTATATAAATTCAAAAATATATGAAAGAAGGGAAAAGGTAAAAAATATATAAAATATGTATCATTTGAATTTTTATTCTCTCAAATATTTGGAAAATTGAAAACTTGCAGTTTATATTATTAACAGGATGAGATAATCTTGAATCGGTTGTACAACTTTTTTTCGAAAAGATTCTTCACTCTCGCTATAATAACATCGAATTATCGATGTGCATTATCAGTCTACTTTGACAAATTACAACTCGATTGATTTTTGCATGCTGAAAACAATTTAAAATTTAATTCACGATAAGGGGGCTCAGTTTAGGCCCGCGTAAAGTTAATCGAAGAGGGAAAGAAAGCGAGATCCGAAAACGCGAGATCACCAAAGATGGCAATGTATCGATCCAAAGATTACCAATAGACCTCACAAAGACTATGTCACGCTGTGAAACGTTAATGTGCACTACTCGATGTTAGATCAGACCGATAATAATAGCGCCAGGAAAGATCAAGGCGGGCGAATCACGCGGAAACATATATAATATAATCTGCCTTTGCTTTTTGATTTTTTTCACATAAATCCCGATTCCTTCTTCGTGAGAAGATCGAATCTCTAGATCCTCAAACCTGGATAATTATAAATCGTAAAATTATTCAAAAATTATATGACTCTTATCTCTATTTAGTGTTGCGCTCAATACTAAACATTTGATTTTCAGTATTATAATCAAATTGAGATAAAAATCTGGTAATCAATTTTTTCTATAAAGTGGTGCAAATATCACTGACGCTCTGATAGTCAAAGATCATTTACAATTAAATTAAAACTATATCAAATTATTATTAGTCTTTTCAAAGAAATTGCTAAGAATAATTAGATAAGGAAATTTTTTACTTTATCATTTATTCATTTATTGATTATTTTTTATATTTATTATAAACCGCGTGTGTCAGGTATTGAAAAAGGGATATGTACCTTATCATATTATATGTACAAACATACAAAACATACCAGAATTAACGCTGCTTCGAACTGCTTCAATTCTGACCAAACTTTGAAAGTAATCACTAGTAGTATTGAGACACCAAAAAAAAAAATGAAAATAAAAGTGAGAGAGCACGAGGGGATGCTTACACACAATACATATCAATTTTCTAATTAGCTCGCGTGAATTATGGAGCAGATTTGCCGGATAACGGGTAAAGTTTAGCACCGATCAGTGATAAATGTCAAAGGGGGAAAGAAGGAAGGTTTACTACATTCCGAACAAATATGATCTGATGAGAAAAGATGAAGTACGATAGTCTAAAAGAGCGAGGCTTTCCTATTTATTTGAATACGGTTTTATTTAATGGACTTAAGCGGTCGCGCGTGAACGTGTACTAGACCGTTCTAGAGTGGCGAATATTAATATAATAGTACGTCGCGATGTGTTTTTCGGGATTTTATAAAAAGCGATCGCGAAGTAGTAGGTAGTTAAGTAACCGTAGACTGTTCTACATAGCTGTTAATCGTAATATCACACGCGCTTTCTGTGGTATTTAGTTGATTCTGTCATTGATGTTACATCCGTCTGACGACACGCGACGTAAGTAAAGACGAAGCTAGATAAATATGTGCATATGTGCCGTGGACTTCGATATCTTGGAGGGCAACTGCGATCTGACATCTGCAATTTCGCTTATTATATAAAGCAGCTTATATACATATATATATATATATATATATAT